TGTAAGATGATAAAAAAGCAAGAAAAAGCAATTTGAAATCTAGTCTAATTGATATACGTTGTATTTTAAGAATTTGTTGTGGTTTATTGATATGTACATGAGCCCCTTGCGTTTCCTAAATCAAAGAAAAAAAAGATAACGCATTTTCTCAGCATACACTAAATATTTTCAAAAAACGATACGTACGTTTTCCCACAGGTATAAGGTTTATCATGAAGTAGAAAAGGACTTTTTATCTATCCACTGTAAAGACTACAAAGCAGTCCTCGTTTTAAGTGTTATACCGCTGTTCCAAGAATTTTCCTGTCATTTCAGCTTTAAACTTAATCAAATTCAGTTTTTGCTTGGAGTCATATGTTACTACAGTTTTGCATGAGGAAACAAAATCAAATAGTTTCGAATGATAAAATGAACAATAAAGACAAAAATTCACCTCATTTTTGAAAATTTTATTAAATTTTATCAAATTTTAAAATTCCACTTTTTTTAAAAACTGACCGTACCCCCGGGACTACAGGCTTAGTGAACCCTTTGATGTTTGCCACATCAGTTGACATACGAAAAAACCATGTGTCATATTAAAGCGACATATAAAAACTTTGACTTTTAAGTTTCACTTTCTTTTTCTGTAACATTGACTTCAAAAAACAATGGGGACATGATCAAGCTTACGTTTAACTGGATATTCACTTTAGTTTAACCTACATAGATAATAGGTGTTTTCAGTATTTTTCTTCTGTATTAGCAACAGCAGAAAACGAAAGAAAATAGACAAGAGCGTTTTCGGACTAATAGCTAGTATTTTTAGAAAAATTAATTCCATGAAAGGAAATAAAATGTAAGACAAATATCGTAACTGTGACCACTGTAGGTCGGATTTTGCCACTTTCAATACCAGTGATGGTATAGTATCGTGGACTGAAAATTTTATCATACGCTTATAATTATGCGTACTTGCTGTTGCGTTGTGTACGATTTATGGCTGCAAGAGTTCTCTCCGCAAAGGGAGTCATGATAGTTTGGCTTCTTATATCTTTGTAGCCGTCTGAATTTTCAAAAAAGAAAACTCATATTTGATATATCGGTTTTGATGTGTTACTTTGGATCTATAATTCCATTGTCAGTTGAGCTCGTTCCCTTGTAAGATCAACCAGCTACCACCGTATACTATCAAACTTATAAATCTTGAACTTTAATTTGCTTTGGTTTTTTCTCATCGAACCAACTGAGTTTAATATCTGGTGATTCTCTTATCGGTATACAACGAGCAGGAATCTCTTAGAAAAGCTTCCTAGTAAATTTTCGGTGACAGGAAGGTGTTTATACCGATATTCCGAAGGTTAAGCGTCTAAACTCCATTCTCTAAGGCTCATTAAATATAGAAACAGTTCTTCTACATGATCGAACTCATCAGAACCCAAATGGTAATCCCGACGTCTCGTGACACAAGGGGACAACTAAGAAGACATTAGATCTCTGATTCATTGCGTCGAATCATCGTTTTATGCGTTGTTTTGCGGGGAAAAATTTTGCAAGAACTTCTCATACATTTTTGCTTCTGTATAACACCGTATTTAACATTTATATCTAAGCAATCTTTATTTGTGGAAAACTTTTCTTTCGTACAAAATCATGGCGAACCTGTTTTTTCCTTCGTCACTAGGAACACGCTGTGTTTTATAAACCCGAATGTTTTTTTAACGTGTACTAGGAAATATTCTTTATCATCTTTTCTGTGTTACTAAATGAAATGGTTTTGTCCCAATAGTATATGATCACTAGTTGATACTCTGAAGCGAAATAAGCACTTTACGACCTTACTTATAACCCTGCATTTCCCATGCAGTGCTATTCTGATAATCTAGACGTGCATCTATACTTTTACTCATTTATTAGATTTCTAGTAATCTTTTCTAAAGTTTAATATCCCCTTCGACTTAACAACAGCATGCTTCAATCAATTTTATCATCCAGAAGATAATACAATCACATATTACCAATATTGAGCTTTTTAGAAAGCGAGTAAACAGCAGTTGGCGTTTTTAAACGCATGTACTCAACCCTATAGAATCCTTCATACCTTTACTGATCATACTGCTGAAACATCGTTAAAATCTTTTTTTTACGTAAATTTTAGTTCGAAAATTTTCAAAATGTTTCTCCTGTTTCTATACCTCATTCTTCGAACTTTGACCTCAAAACGGAAGTTAACCAGATTATTGTCCTCAATTCGTTTATAAGTTTTACTCAAGGCCATCGATAAGGTAAGGTTTACTCTACGTGAAAAAAATATTCACACTTGGAGACTATTAGTGAATGTAATGCAGTAAGGTACGTTTTCTAAAGAGATTTCTCTTTAATTCCTGCGTACTTATCATGGTGTTGACACAGACGTAGTAGACATACACTACGTCTCACATACAGGATCTGTATGCTATATCAAAAAGAAGATGCTTCTAATATAACATCCATATACACAAATCAGTTGTTCTATAATACTGAATTCTCTTTTTCATTACTATACACATCTTAGTGTTATCAAGTATTATCCATATATGTATGAAATCTTCCGTTGAGATCGCAACTACGAATTTGCATTCTCGACTTCTAAGAGATCACAGTAGAATAAAGGTAAAGGTCAGTGATAATACTAGTCACTTCTAATACGATTAGTCATCTTACAGAATAGTTTCTCTTAACTGAAGGATAAGGTTAAGCAAATTCGTAATCGGAGCGGTATTCATTTTTCCGATTTTATTGCACAGGTACGTACGGCGCGTCGAGCTAAATCTAACTATGTAAAATTTTTTCAAAAAAAGTTAGTTTTTGCCGTCGAAACAGGCAAAAAACTGAAAAACGAGAAGACCTTGAAAAAAGAGCGTGTTACAGGAAAATGCCTGCAGTTTTTTCACGTTCTGACGTACTGCTTTAAAAGTTTTTCCCCGAATCTACGTCAAAAACTGATTAAGGAGACGTTTTCTCGAATTTTTTTGAATGAGTTTCTTGACCCGAAAAATCGAGGCGAAGCCGGAAGAGAAAACCGGGCCGGCTGAGCGTAAAATTAATAAGGCTTTTTTAAAGTAACAGAATGCCGATATTTTTCGATGGAAATGTTCATTTAAAAATAGCCCTGGAAAATGTTACGTATACACGTTTTCCAATTCTTTTTCGTTTCTGTGCTAGAGCGTTTTTTCGAAACATACCGAACATCGGCCAGATGATGTCGCCTGCCTTGGCCAAAACTCGACTCAAAAGACAACATTTTTTGAGACAACATTCCTAGGGTTGAAAAACGATGAGGAATCCAACAGAAGTGGTTTCGAGAAGTTTTGGAGCAAGTCCTTAGATCCCACTGTCTTACGTGCCGTTTTTCTGGGTCTGTTAGCTGGTCATTGTCAAAAAGTTGAAGTCTTCTTACATTTTCTTGCTGTCCTAGCTACTGTTCTCAATAGCAAAGAGTAAAAAATACATCTCCCTGTAACAGGCTCCTTTTTTTAAGGTCTTTTCGTTTTTGCCTGTTTCGACGGCAAAAACTAACTTTTTTTGAAAAAATTTTACATGGTTAGATTTAGCTCGACGCGCCGCATCTACCTATGCAATAAAATCAGAAAAATAAATACCGCTCCGATTATGAATTTGCTTAACCTTAAAAGACTATAAAGAAGACGCTTTTCAAAAGTCTATCAGAGTTAGTATGAAACGACTATTTTTAGAACGCTGTGTTTTTTTAATTTTCTCATCGAATTTATTGTTGTCTTATCACAAGAATATGTTCAGCAACGAATATTGCAAAATGATAAAAAATCAAGTTTATGATCATGACGACCATGACGTTGATCAAGATCACCTAGACATAAAGTCAACAAAACTAACGTCCTATGGAATTGGACCTTGTATTGCCATAATATTATTATTGAGAGTAAACAATATAGACTACGTGGCATTGTACCATTGTAGTTTTACAGACAATTTTTAGTATTTTTACGTGACAATTTTATACAAGTTATTCAGCATAAATTCGACGAATTCTTTCGCAAGTCAACGCGTATTAATTATTCTATAAAAGACATTAATATACACGCCATAATTTTCATAGGTGGTGTGCATAACGCCAAAATTTATCACACATTCATTAAAAGTTTTCAATCGTTTCATAATGAACGTGAGAAATATGTACATCATCCACATCACATCATCCAACAATTGGCAATATTGCCTAAAGCAAAAGCAATAATATATGGACCAATCAATATAAACGAAACTGCAGAAGATGATAGAGGTTATAGATGCTGGTCATCCGTGGCTGTTTTGGTCAATCCTGAAAACAAGTCAATAGACTTTATATGTGAGCTAGAAAAAAAAAAACTACACAACGGTCAATTATCAGGCGAAGAATTCGTACTACTTAGCGGAAGAATAGAATATGATAACAAATATCTCCTAAACGTTCTAAAAAACACTGAATTACTAAAAAACTGTGAACTAGAACCATTAATATCAAACGTATTTCAAACTGAACCAATTTTTATGTAATATTTTGTAAGTTTCAAATCTTAATAAATAAAAAGTTGGCTATGACATGAACAAAACAAGTCTAATAGTTTGTTCTACATAAAAGGTCTCATACGTCATGGTAGCAGAAAACTTAAACTTTGAGACTAACGAGGAACAACAGAAATCACTGTAACTTTTTAATCGAGGATTTCTGAGAGGTGGACGGTATCTTATTTTAAGAAAATACTTTAGACTATTTGTTACAACATATAATTTTTCATGTGAAGTTCTTAAAAAGTGAAAGAATGTGAGAAGTCTTTGCAGAGTACAAAAGCTTGAAAAATTCCTGACTCGTAATTGAAATGACTTTTATTATAAAGAGTTTCCAACTTTCTAAGCAACGAAACATCTTCAAGTGATTATCACACATAGTTTTACAGCAGTATAAATGGTGAGTTTTCACCTACTCATTAATGCACTGAATGTTTGATGCTTTAATCATTTGATTAACGCCAGAATTTCAAATAATAACGTTCAATATGGATATAACAATTATCAATGCCAAAGTGTTCAGTTAGTAATCGTTTAAAAATCTGTGCGACATTATCAGTAATCACAAAATTATTATTCCATGTATAACATTGAATAAATGATAATAAACATCTTTTATATGATAATAAAACTTTCAGAATACTCTGAATAATTCTAATAGGAATTTTATTAGCAAACTGTAATGCTAATATTTTAATATTAGAAAAATACTGAAGAAATTCAACGAAATAATTCTTCTTCTCATCATCAATATCAGTGACTTCTAACCTATATAAATGCAATTCAATAATTCGTTTGAAAAAAATATTGTCGTTGTAGTCAAATGCTAGTTGCTCTTCCATAATTCGATATATACTAACATTGTCGATTTTTAAAATACAAACATTTGGTAACATGAGAGAAAAATGTTGTTTAAATAATTGTTCATATGATGTTAAATATTTACAAATAATTGTATTGACATTTTTAAGTACTACCGATGGCGATTTATTACTTAATCGACAATTGCTCATATAAAATTTTAAACATTTGACATCTTTAAACATACTTAATACTTTATCGTTTAATGGCCAATATAAATCGAATGCATGTGGTGTTCCAGTGGAACTAATTGAATTAAACTCAAATGTACAATCGATATCATTTGTTTGATAATTTGCAATACCATTTGAGATACAATCAATATCACGAAAAATACACGGTAGTGAATAAAGGTAAAAATCATTTTCATAAATGTCTGTATAACATATAATTTTTTGTTTTCGTTTTAATAACCAATAATCATTCTTAAACGAAGATATTATTAAATTATTTCGGTCTCTTTTATAAGACAACCTAAAATAAAAATTAAATTCGATTAAATTTAATAACGTTGATAACAAATCAACCTCTATACGTCGACCATCAATAACAGATGGTTTGGATAAATAACCGATGCTTAGTGATAAATGTTCTAATGAAACAATATGTTGAATTAACACTTCAATTAAATCATAACTATTTGAAAATATAATTTGATTAAACTGTAATTTTAAATTAGATAACTGACTAATTTTCAGACGAAGAGATTTATAATCATAATTAATAATTGAATGAGGATCGAAATCAAACCATTTAAATTTTATATTTAATATTTTAATATAGGGTATAAAATCAAATAAAACTAATAATTGACTATAAAACTCAAGTTCAATTGTTAAAACTTGAACGAAACAAATTGAGAGACGTCGTTTGTTTTTCAAAGAGAAAACACCATTTATTACTGAACATTCTTTCAATAGAAAATTTTTATTACTGAAAATGCAAGTAGTAATATTATCAGATAATGAAACATGTTCATCTATTGTAATAATTAGACAATACAAATTTTCTACAAGTTTTAGATAGAATTCTACATCCTGTTCTTGTCTACAATATAAATTCAAATGTTTTAAATTTCTAAATGATAGACAATGTTTTGATAATAGATATAGTTGTTCTGTTGAACAATGTTCATAGCCTAACTTCAGTGAAATAATATTCGATGCAATTGACGGCATTATATTATAACAGTAATAGATAAAAGTTTTATATGATGTATATCTAAGGTCAATATCACTTGTATAATACTTTGAAATTAATCGATTAAATCGTGTATTTTGATGAAAAAACAAATAGAAAATTTCAGTTTGTTTAATATAATCAAAAACTTCTAGGAGAATTTCGTTTGATAATATTTCAAACGTAGTAATAGACATCCTAAAAGTTAAATGTACAATATGTAAGTTTTAATCCGAGCACTGATATGTTGAATGATTTCTTTATTTGTATGTGGATGTTGGACTATTTAGGACGTTGATCAATAAAAGAAGAGCCGATCATCACCTCCAGATGAAATATCTAGCAGCGTAATCAAGATGAGCTTAATATCCATTAGAAAAAAAAAGACGGCTGTTCAATTTTAGAAAAGAAGTTTGAGTCATTACACTCTTCTACAAATTAAGGAAAGTTCGAATCCTTCAGACGTAATATGGACTTCTTGACACCTACGATTTCTCCTTAAGGCCTGACGAAGCCCAAAACAAGTGGATGACAAATATCGATCATACTTAATCTCGCAGCAAAGTTTTCTTCATTCAAAAGTTCAACGATCTAGCGGGAACCTGATTAGCACAAACATCCATTTTCACCTATATCCATGAGAATTTAGGTGGATAAAACCTCATATCTTTAGCATTATGAATAGCATGCATTCGAAACTAATATAATTGCAAAATTATCAAGAGTTTGATGCTAAAAATACTTTATTACTATTTATACTAGAAACAACTAGGGTCACAAGTACACACACGTTTTTGTACATACTCACATCATAATAAATCTCTTTAAGAAGGGCAATAAGCGAAAAATCAACATTTCTTACGTCTTTCTTATATCTAAAAATATTTGTAGACGTGAAATGTATTCTGACGCCCCTAAACGGATAAAAGATCTGAATGGAGCGAACCAATTTCGAGACACCTTCTTTTATCTTATTCAGTTTTTTCTCTTATATAGATTGGTTTCGTTAAGCTGATCGAACGCTTAACTATAAAAGCTTCGATGCTTTCGCGCAAAATTTTAGCGCTCTTTTCCACTACTAAAAAATAATCGAGATCTCTGCTTACACTTTATAGATTGTACCAGCATTTTTGTTTGCATAATGCGAAATATTTGATAGATAATCATGAACGTTACATCAGGGAAAACTTATGAAGAGAAAAGACAGACTCAGGCAAAAATGTACACAGTCTGTTTGGTACCCAGATTTATCAACTTAACATTCAGTTTTCTATACTGGTCATGAACATATCTTTAATGTATTGTTTATGAAATAACTCTATATTTGTAGCTTCATTTCTAATATTGCTTGTTTTATTTCTGTCTAAACAAGTTGCTATTATTTTATATGACAGAAATATGTTGTGTTTGTTTGTTTCACCGTCATTTATAAAGTATTCTGAATTATACAATTCCATATAATGCATGAATATATCAGTTTTTATATCTTCTAAAACTTTGAGATTGATTTGATTTACCGATGACGACAACTTTAAAAGAAAGCACTTTCTTTCCGAATACGAACGAGAACGACACGCGTGTTTATCAACATAATTTTTAACCAACTCCAATTGATGCTTCACATTTTCACTATGAATTTCATAATTCCATTTTGTATTTAAGTCAATTGTATCGGCAAACGTTTCATTTTGAACTCTTCTACGCGTAGACATCTAGATACTGTTTCGGTATCATTCTTAAAAATAAATCTAAAAGAAAAATGATTGCCTCAAAACTAGCAAGAGTATGATGCTAAAAACACTTTGTTTATCTACCAGAAACAACTAACGTGACAGGTACACACATATTTATGTACATAGTCACATCAGAACCAATTTCTTTAAGGGCAAGGCGTGAAAAATCAACATTTCTTGAAAACGCACTATCGTTCATCCTAAAGAAGCTAATATCAAATTCGGCTTCTGAGAGACGGTAAAGGTTTGTCCCTGAAAATCTCATGTATTTGAAGGTAGTGTCTCTAATTATCCCGTGCGAGGTAATTAGATGCACTTTGATGGAGCTCTTCGCATTTTGGGTTTAGCTCAAAATTGGTCGGAGATTTTCTAAAGATTGTTACATGAGCGTGTAGAAAAATGTTCGGTCTACTACCTTGTTCAATAGCAACTTGTTCCGATCAAAAACAGTCAAGAAATCGCAAAAAAAGGACGAAAATTTCAAAGAGCATCTCTAATTACTCCGAAGTACTCTATTTATTTACTTAGGGCATACCAAAAGTAGTGAGATTTGCTGATAAAACTCTACAGAAAAGAGATAATCAAGTTTCTGTTTCAGCAATTATTGAGGTTAGTAGCTATGCTTACCCACGCACAATTAATTTGTTTCAGCACATCCGTTGAAAGATTTTTTAGAATAACCTTTGATTAAAAGAGTAATCATCTTGGTTACAACACTCAATGCAATGATTAAGGGCCATTTGATTCATTAAGTTCATTCAAATACACGGGATATTCAGAGTCAAACCTTTTCACCGTCTATCAGAAGCCGAATTTGGTATTAGACTAAGTGACAAAATGCTTGAGACTGCTTTGAGTCTAAAGCGCTTTTGTCATGTATGAGGTATATGTTTTTCTGTTGGTATCATATTGTATGTGTCCTTCAGAGGAGACATATGTCGGATAAGTTGGTATTATCTTGGGTAGTTCACATAATTTTTAGATGATTGTTTTTGCATTCAATAGAGGAGATGCTTATGTAAGCCATAGACAGAAGATTTTATCAAAGTTTTTTGTCTCTAGGTGTCATAATTAATTTAGCCCACAAAATATATTTAAATTAATATTAATATATTAAATCTTATATAGAGTGAAACCAGTATGATAGCTTATCCATTGGAATAATGACCTAATTTTTACATATGCGATAGAGTTGAGCAGTCTGAAGACTTTTGTCACTTAGTCTAATACCAAATTCGGCTTCTGAGAGACGCTAAAGGTTTGTCTCTGAATATCCCGTGTATCTGAATGGGGTGTCTCTATTTACCCCAAAGCATAAAAGTAAAAAAGAAAAAAATTCTAGTGCTCTTGATTATACTAATTAGATTAATGAATTTAAATGATAATGAGCTCAGAACCATATGGTAGAGAGAGGAAGATCTGGGCTACAAAATGAGGTATTTTTGAACTAATTATCTCCTAAGCTTAATTAACCAGTAATGGTACATTAAAACTCCATGTATTTGAATGAAGTGCCTCTATTTACCCCAACGATATAAGTGAGTGTTGTGTCATATAAGTCTGTGTTACGATGATCAGTAAAGCTTCTGATTTTTAATGTTAGTTTCTCAAGTGATTACTCCGAAGTACTCTA